CTACCTACCTACCTACCTACCTACCTACCTACTTCCACTGCACATATATAAAACAGACTTAATGCAATTAAAAAAGAAGGAGCCAGAAATTAGAAAACACCAACATGACCATTTATCTCAGGGGTGTCAAACTTGCAATGTCATGTGATGTGTCATGACGTATCGCGACTTTTTTTCCATTGCCGGCAATGGGGCGGGCGCAGTTTCGGCATGCCGCATCCGGCCCATATGGGCCAGCAGTTTGACAAACCTGATTTATCTTAACCCCTACCTAATGGGATCCACCATGAGGTCCTGTTGCGTTTTCATCCTATATGCTGGTGTTTGTCAAGCTTTAAGATGAGTGGGTTTTAATTCCCAGAATTCAGGCTGGCTGAATTAAACTAGACTGAGGGATTCTGGGAATTGAATTCCTCCCCTCTTAAACCAGACTGAAGGATTCTGGGAGTTGAAGTCCACTCAACTTAAACCAGACTGAAGGATTCTGGGAGTTGAAGTCCACCCCTCTTAAACCAGGCTGAAGAGTTCTGGGAGTTGAAGTCCACTCAACCTTAAACCAGACTGAAGGATTCTGGGAGTTGAAGTCCACTCAACTTAAACCAGACTGAGGAATTCTGGGAGCTGAAGTCCACTCAACCTTAAACAAGACTGAAGAATCCTGGAAGTTGACTCAACCTTAAACCAGACTGAAGGATTCTGGGAATTGAAGTCCAAACACCTTAAACCAGGCTGAGGAATCCTGGGAGTTGTAGTCCACCCCTCTTAAACCAGACTGAAGAATTCTGGAAGTTGAAGTCCACTCAACCTTAAACCAAACTGAAGGATTCTGGGAGTTGAAGTCCATTCCTCTTAAACCAGACTGAGGAATTCTGGGGGTTGAAGTCCACCCCTCTTAAACCAGACTGAGGAATTCTGGGAGCTGAAGTCCACTCAACCTTAAACAAGACTGAAGAATCCTGGAAGTTGACTCAACCTTAAACCAGACTGAAGGATTCTGGGAATTGAAGTCCAAACATCTTAAACCAGGCTGAGGAGTTCTGGGTGTTGAAGTCCACTCAACCTTAAACCAGATTGAGGAATTCTGGGAGTTGAAGTCCACCCATCTTAAAGCTGCCAAGACGGAGAGACACTGCTCTGGTGGGCCATGACAATTAAACTGGCCTTTTGGGGTCTGGTCTTCTGGTCCCTCTCCCCTTTTCCCCAGCTCCCCAACCCCACCCTCCCTGTGTCTCCCCCCCACTCCGTGCGCCTTCCTCCTCCTCCTCCTCCTCATTCTTTTTCTGCCTTCCCGCAGAAAAATTGTAAGTAAAATCGATGCCGACAAGGACGGCTTAGTCACGGTGGAGGAGCTGAAGGCCTGGATTAAGTTTGCCCAGAAGCGCTGGATTTACGAGGACGTGGAGCGCCAGTGGAAGGGCCACGACCTCAACGGGGACGGCCTGGTTTCGTGGGAGGAGTATAAAAACGCCACCTACAGCTACGTCTTAGGTAGGTCCACTCTCTGCCCCCCCCGGCTGACCCTCTGCCCCGCTTTTGTCTTGTAGCGCGATGGTGGGCAAAATAGACACGGATAAGGATGGGTTTGTGACGGAGGGGGAGCTGAAGGACTGGATTAAGAAGGCGCAGAAGAAGTACGTCTATGAGAATGTAGCGCGCCAGTGGCAGGAGTATGACTTGGACCAAGATGGCCTCATCTCCTGGGCGGAGTACAGGAATGTCACCTATGGCACTTACCTGGGTAAGGGGCGAGTTGGGGGGGGAGGCAGCCATGCTGGAAAGGACTGCCTGAACTGGGCTGGCTAGACCAGGATGTGCCACCTCTGTGAGGAGGTTGGATGGCGGTCCAGTTGTGCCTCAGTGACACTCCCTTCTTTCTCCCCCCCATCCCCACTTGTGCCGTTCAGATGATCCGGACCCCGACGACGGCTTCAATTACAAACAGATGATGGTGCGGGACGAGCGGCGGTTCAAAATGGCCGACAAAGATGGAGACTTGATTGCCACCAAGGAGGAGTTCACGGCGTTCCTGCACCCGGAGGAATACGACTACATGAAGGACATCGTCGTGCAGGTGGGTTGGCCTAACCTAGCCACGGGCTACGGGCAGTCCTCGGCTTACGACCGCCGCAGAGCCCCAGGTTTAAGTTGCTAAGCGAGAAATTTGTGAAGCGAGTTTTGACCTCATTTTACGACCTCTGCCGCCAACGGTTGTTAAGCGAACCGCCCCGTCGTTAAGGGACGGTTCCTCCTTTGTCATTGCACTCCGGAGCAAACCTGGTCAGGATTCGCATCCGTCCGGTGGTTTGTCTGTTTGTTCCCCTGGGCGTTGAATTGCAGCTTTCCTTTGCGTTGAGAGGGTTATAATTCATCTCTCTTTTTTTGTATCTGGGTTTGTGTGTGTGTGTGTGTGTGTGTGTGTGTGTTTCGCATTGTGTTCTGGGTCAGCTGCATTGAGGTCTTGAAGGAAACAAAAAAGTGGGATTCAGGTGAAATAAATCCTAATGCTTGAACCTAGTGGTTGAAGCACCAGGCTACAAAACGGCAGGCGGCGAGTTCTAGTCTTGCCTTAGGCATGAAAGCCAGCTGGGTGACTTTGGGCCAATCACCAGGAGACGGTGAGTTCTAGTCCCGCCTTAGGCATGCCAGTTAGCTGGGTGACTTTGGGCCAATCACCAGGAGACGGTGAGTTCTAGTCCCGCCTTAGGCATGGAAGCTGGCTGGGAGACTTTGGGCTAATCACCAGGAGACGGTGAGTTCTAGTCCTGCCTTAGGCATGCCAGTCAGCTGGGTGACTGGACCAATCACTAAGAGACGGTGAGTTCTAGTCCCGCCTTAGTCATGAAAGCCAACTGAGTGACTTTGGGCCAATCACCAGGAGACGGTGAGTTCTAGCCCCGCCTTAGGCATGCCAGTCAGCTGGGTGACTGGACCAATCACTAAGAGACGGTGAGTTCTAGTCCAGCCTTAGGTCCAAAAGCCGGCTGGGTGACCTCGCTCATCCCAGTCCACCTCACAGGGCTGTTGTTGCGAGGACAATAGGAAGAAGTAGTATGAATATGTTCGCTGCCTTTACTTGTTTACAAAAATAATAACAACGGGGAAATAAGTAAATAATGCTGCCCCTGACTTCTCTCTACAGGAAACCATGGAGGACATCGACAAGAACGGAGACGGGTTCATTAATTTGGAAGAATACATAGGTGAGCTGGTTTGGCCCTGGACTGGACGATAAAACTAGACACGAGCGGTCCTCAGCTTACAACAGTGACTGTTTAGTGACCGGAGTCACAATGGCACTGAAAAAAGGGACTTAATGACCCTTTTTCACACTTATGACCATTGCAGCCTCCCCCCGGTCAGGGGATCAAAATTCAGACGCTTGGCAACTGACTCACATTTATGACGGTTGCAGCGTCCCGTGTGTGTGTGTGTGTGACATAATCCCTTTTTGCGACTTTCTGACAAGCAAAGTCAAATGGGGGGGGGGGAAGCCAGATTCGCTTAAGGACCGCAGGTGTTTCGCTTAACTGTCGTGGCAAGCAAGGTTGTAAAACGGGACACTTAGCACTCAGGCTTATACACACACACACACACACAGAAGCGGTGAATGCTCCAACACTGGAAGTGTTTAAGAAGAGACTGGACAGCCATTTGTCCGAAATGGTGTAGGGTTTCCTGCCTGAGCAGGGGGTGGGACTAGATGACCTCCAAGGTCCCTTCCAACTTTATTATTATTGTTATTAACCGACACACACACACACACACACATTTTACAGCGCTCTCTCCTGAGCGGTTTATAACGTAAGCCTTATGTGCCTATGGGCCCCAACCCTCTCGATCCACTTAGCCGTCTCACAGCAACGGGAGCGCTGGACTCTATTTTGGTCGTTAAGCCAAGGACGACCCGCGTTCTGCGGTTCAGCACATAGTGGGACTTAGAGCTGAGACCCTCGCCGGGCGTTTCCTCCGCAGGGGACATGTACAGTCACGACGGGGACACGGAGGAGCCCGAGTGGGTGAAGACGGAGCGGGAGCAATTTGTGGAGTTCCGGGACAAAAACCACGACGGGAAGATGGACAAGGAGGAGACCAAGGACTGGATCCTCCCCTCCGATTACGACCACGCCGAGGCCGAAGCGCGGCACCTGGTGTACGAGTCGGACAAGGACAAGGTGAGAGGCCTGGGGAGAGGGGGGCACCTGCCTCCCACCCAGGTTTTTTCTCAGCAGCTCAGCTGAGACCACCAAAGGGAGGCCCCTGGAAAAGAGGGGGGCCAGGGCTGCAGATCTGCATGACCCCCCCACCCTATTAGGATGGGGCGCCCTGGGCCTGGGGGGGTGTCTCGTGGCAGCCTTTCGTCTTTGGGACCCTTGGTGCTCTCTGAGCTGGGTGGTTCCCTTGCAGAAGTTTTGTGACCCAACTAGGGAACATCGTCAGTGCTAGAGGGGAGGCAGAGTGGAGAGGAGAAAGAGGAGGGGAGGAAGAGGAGGGAGGGAGGAAGGAAGGAAGGAGGAAGAGGAATGAATGACATTAAGAAGGGGAAAGAGAAGGAGGGAGGGAGGAAGGAAAGAAGGAAAGAGGAATGAATGATATTAAGGGGAAAGAAGAAGGGAGGAAGAAAGGAAAGAAGGAAGGAAAGGAGGAGGAAGAGGAATGAATGACATTAAGGGGAAAGAAGAAGGGAGGAAGGAGGGAAGGAAGAAAAAGGGGAGGAAGAGGAGGAGGAGGAGGACAATGACTGTGGGGTCCTTGGTGTTCTCTGAACTTGGTGGTTCCCTTGCAGAGTTTTCGTGAGCCAACTAGGGAACATCATCAGTGCTAGAGGGGAGTGGAATTTGTGGGGAGGGGGAGGGGGGAAGGAGGAGAAGGAAGGGAGGAAGGGAGGAGAAAGAGGAAGGAATGACGTTAGGAAGGGGAAAGAGGAGAAGGAAGGGAGGGAGGAGGGGAGAGAAGGAGGAAGAGGAGAATGTGGGGTCCTGGGTGCTCTCTGAGCTGGGTGGTTTCCTTGCAGACGTTTCATGACCCAACTAGGGAACATCATCAGTGCTAGAACGGAGTGGAAAGGAGGAGAAGAGGAAGGAAGGAAGGAAGGAAGGAAGGAAGGAAGGAAGGAAGGAAGGAAGGA